AATAAACAGAGAAAACTTTAGGCCCTATTTGACCAGTTGCTTGACATGTTTTCATCTACAGCCACTTTTCAAAAACGTGGGAAAGATTATGCAGATTACCTGCTTTGTCTCTTTGACTCCTACTTGGAGAAAAACTCTAATCAGTGACCAAAGCTACCAAAAGTTCTAAAGTGAAACTCAAATATGTATGTGGATTTTCTCCTGTTCGCTCTATCTTTTTCCCTATTCAGACAGGCAGCTGTCTTTAGAAATGTATGCTTTAGAGTCTTGGATTAAACTCATTCCTTCTCCTCAAAAAGCACTTAAATAATAGGGTATGTTTTGACTGTTCATTTCTATAAAAGCATTTAATAATCGTATCTGAAACTCACACCTACACAGTTGAATTGGACATCATGTAAAGAAAAATACAGTTTGGATTGTTCTTACAGCGTTTTGGTCCTCAATCTTTTGTCTTTAGAAAGTATTACAGGAGTGACACTTTCTTCCTGCTTTAACTCACAGCCTTAAAAATATCCATGGATTTGTTTTAGCCAAAATGGAAGTCTAACAACATTTTAAACTATATATTTTTTTAAGAGTTTGTTCTTTAAAAAACTCATTTCTACAAACTCCACTGATGACTAATATGATGATGGTAAGAAGCAACTCCCTATCTTGGTTAAATCTAAAACTGAATCTGAAAAACAGAGAATGTATAGCAAGAGTTTTCAATGAATGAACTACCTGCTGTTTCCTATTCACAGATAATTGACACTGTGTAAAGATATACTGTAATCTAGAAAGCAAAACAAAACAAAAACCACATACACACAGAGGGGTAACCGATAAAACAAGAACAAATTTTCAGTTGAAGCAAGAACTAACTGGTGGTAAACTGAGGCTTTCTGGAAGAGTTTTAAAAATAACACGTCAGTGTGGAAAGCTAGATACATTACAGCCTTTGCAGAAATATTCTGAAAAGTAAACACCCTCCAAAACAGCTGTAACATTTCAGTAGCATTAGGGAGAACTATAATGTCTTTCTTCACAATTGAGAATACAGACCTTAAAAAAGAGCAGTGACAACTCACTTTAGTCAGAAGTAGATGATTTCGGTTCAAAAGCTTTATTCATTCATGAGGAAGAGCCTTAAAACCTCAGAAGGTTTGTGCTTGTGTGAAGAGACAAGAGGTGGCACAGTAAAGCCCATCTTCAATTAACATGTTTATTATTTAAAAACATCTGGCAATCATGGAATTCCTTCCCATTTTTGAGTAATATTTTGATTCACTGAAGAAAAACCCCTCTTGTGTTCGGTGATGCAGCTTAGAATCCTAGGCTAACTCCTGATTGTCAATAAACTGAGAAATCTATGCAAAAATAAAGCATGTTTATGACTGTTACCTTGGCAGTTGCTATGTTAGTGGCCACTTTATTAAAAGATTGTTCTCTAACCAATATTAATGAAAAGTGTGTACTTTTTACTATGTAGGCATTTTTAAAGTATCCACATGTTCTGATGATTGACCTATATTTTCTACCAATTTTCTTAAGATTTGTCAATGAAAAATATTTTCAATGGAATAACTGGTATCACAAACATGTTCTAAAATAAAATATAGCTAAAAAGGAAAAAATAGCAAATCAGAAGGTAGTTGGGCTAATTATCAAAAGGATATTCTTTACAAATTACTTTCATAGATCTGATTAATATTTTTTCCACATAATAACATTTATTTTTAAGCTTCTTTTAGTTGAGTGTCACCGGCACACAATGTTACATTAGCTTCAGGTATAGAGGTTAGTGGTTTCACAAGTTTATACACTATGTTATATTCACCACAAGTGTAGCTGTCATCTGTCCTCTTACATCACTATTACAATATAATTGACTATTCCTTATGCTTTGCCTTTTATTCTCTGATTATTACTTTTTTAACTGATTGACTAAATTGAAGGGATTTAGGATGCACATAAACACAGGACCCCCACTGCAATAAAAGTTGTTGAGCCAATTTTGGAAAACTTCTTTTTTTTCTAATAGAAGTCTTCTGATGCTGCCAGTTTAAAGTTATTACCTTGAATAAGAGATTTTGCCTCTTTTTCTCATATATAATAATAGTTACAGAAACATCTTCAAGGTGAACCACTCATTTCTACTTTAGCTAACGAGAAAACATAACTTCTTTTTCATTCTTAATTTGATATTATCATTTAAACAACCAGTTATAGATTATGTTCATTTTGTGTCTTTATTCTGGAAACAATCTAAGCAAAAACACATTTTCCTGGATGGCTTTGGATATCAGTGCTGTTTTTTTGTTTGTCCCAGAAGGCACTGATTGTTACTTTTAGAGTTTCGGGGTTTTTTAAATTTTATTAATTTATTTATTCATGAGATACACACAGAGAGAGGGAGAGACACAGGCAGAGGGAGAACCAGGAGGCAGAAGCAGACTCCCTGCAGGGAGCTAGACGTGGGACTCCATCCCAGGACCCCGGGACCATGCTCTGAGCCTAAGGCAGACCCTCAAACACTGAGACACTCAGGCATCCCACTTTTAGTGTTTCTTAACCTAAAATCCATGGATTGCTAGGAAATCTACAGGAGTCTGGAATTACATGCAAAATTGCTTGTGTATATACCCATTGTGATGCTTTTTCTTGAAGCAATTTATTTATTTTATTTATTTATTTTTTTGCTACCTCACATCCATACACCATCTTTCTGCTAAAAATACCCCCATTCCCTTTGGGAGGCATTCCTAATGCCTAGCCCATGGAAAGTGATAAAGCTGACTCTATCTCTTGCTCCAAGAGAGGTGCACAGGGTTGGTCTGTGATCTAATCAAAGCCAATTGGTACAAAGACACTTTTGATGGGCTTCTGGGAAAGAGACTCTCTTTTTCCTGTGTTTTCTGAATGAAGCATGAGAAGATGCTAATGCTGAAGCAATGCTATTGCCACCATCTTGCTCCCAAGTGAAGCCAAGACTGAATCTGTATTAGTGGAAGCTAAGAAATGAAAAGAAGCCTAATCCTGCTTACATTATTTGAATAAAGAAGTTAGCTCTATGCCTAGATTTTCCATATTTTAATAAATAACACACATACATGCCTGCACATCCATACCATCTTACTCGACAACATATGCATAGTTGACTCTCCCTCCTTCTTCAGCTTAAGTGCCACTGGCTTTCTCTGACCTTTACTATCAAATAAGATTTTCCCTCTCTGTATCTTTACAATCCGTCCATCCTACCTGTCTCATTACATATTGTCAAAATCATATGCCATATGCTGTTTCTTAATTTGGTGCAGAGGAATTTGGTCAGTTTTCCAGTCCTTTTCGGTCAAAATATGCAAGTACAGGATTATCTTCCAATTTGGGGGAGTTGGTAGGGAGGAAAACAGATTAAAAACTGGAAATTCAAATAGAGAGCCATGTTGTAAATTTCATCAACGATAGAACAAATTGAGATTTTTATTAGACATACACAAGAAAATATATTTCAGTCAAGCAAATATCTTTAGCACAGATTAGTAGGAAAGGATTTTTATGCATTTTAATCTCCATTCCAACCAGACCTAGCTGACATAATTATGAGGCCCCTAAAAGTAACTGCTGGGGTTTAGAAGCACTTGCCACTTCCTTTGAACTGGCTCTATAAATGCCAAGAGTGAGTATTTCAGATTAAATGAATAGATTAATAAACATCTTTGGAATATCCATCAAGGTTGATTTATGTTCTATTGCCAGCAGTAATTCAAGGAAATGCCATGCTATTCAAAAAATATTTCATGTCGTTCTCACCATTTTCCAATGTTATGACACCATGTAAGTATGACAGTATCTATATTCTTTTGCTGTTCTAACTACGCAAAAGCCAATAGATATTAAACCACTTTAAGTTTACATGGGCATCAGCACAAGAACCACTCATATTTATAACTCTGATGAATGGCCTTTCATTTATAAATTTATAGAGTATCCATAATTTCTTTAGGGAACCAAAAGGTTCATTCAAAAAATTGCCACAACATTTATCTATGCAAAGATGATGGATATGGTTTATAAAATTAAATGCTTTTAAAAATTAAAATCATATTGCAAAAAAAGGGACATTTTTTTTCTTGGGTTGCTCACATTTTAAAATGATCACAACTGCACTCTCAGCACTTATGATGTTTAATCTAGATAGCATATTAATATATGTATTAAATAGGTCCAAATATATTGTTGTTAGTGTTGTGTAGCATCGGTATGAGCTACTGGATATCAAGTTCACTTAAATTTATTATTTTATTTCTAACTATATTCCTGTACATTAAGCTATAAAATATATAAAGTATAAGTGGAATGTAATATTTATATTACTATTACTATTTCTTCAGGACCACTCCCAGCATACTGCATGGTGGATTGTAAGCATGAGGGCTATTATAGACTGTAACTTAAATAAAATACATATTTGCCAAAATCAACATTAACTAAACAAGGAATCCTATTTTATCCCAATATGGACTTTGCTCAATTGGAGAAATCAGTGAAGTAGGAGAAAATGAAAGGCAAAAATAATCACTAAAGTAACCAATGAAAAGCAAAGTATCAACATTACAAGCATGAAGAAGAAATGCACATCTGGCGGCATTCCCATTCTCCTTTCATTTGCCCTCACGTACTTCTGTAAGTAGGAAATACAGACAAATCTCAGTGCTATGTGTTTTTTCTTCATAAAGTAATTTTACTTTTTGAAGATCTATTATTAAAGAATATACCAAAAAATTGAAACTGAGTTTAAATATTCGATTTTGTTATATGAACAATGATCTCCAAATTAGTAACTTTATCATTAGCTCACCTAGTTAAATAAAATTGTTCCAAATGCTTGCAGGATTTGTAGGCAAAATACTTCCTTTTTTTTTTTTTTTTTTTGGCAAAATACTTCTTACACATTGTATGCTTTCTGCTTTGCTCAAAAGTAACATAATATTAAAAAATAAAAACCACTTACATACCCCAGTGGATCGCTAGCTCCTTGTGGACAGGAACATGTTGGTCATCATCTTCAGGTCACGAGAGGCCGGCACAGCACCTGAGACATAATGCATACCTCATAAATCTGTTTGAATTAATTAAATGATACAGTGCTGACTGGAATCCATTTGGAAGGTATGAATTTAATGACATAACAATTCTATATATCAATCCTCTCTTCCTCTATTGCTACATTATTAAAATAGCAGTGCACATTCTTATATATTTGAATGACAACTTTGTCCTGAAAACAATTCTTAACCATAACTGCTCCTAAATTCTTATCACATTATATGTTCTTATTGTCCTTTGGTTTTGGTGGAAGCAGTAAAGCATTATCATGTACTTTTGAGTTAGGCTGACACGGGTTTACATACTGGTTCCACCATCGACTATTTACATGGTCTTGGGTAAATCTCTTAATCTATAAATCTGTTTACCTTCAAAGGAAAAATAATCTGGCAGCCCAGGTGGCTCAGCAGTTTAGCGCCACCTTCAGCCTAGGGCCTGATCCTAGAGACCCCGGATAGAGTCCCACATCGGGCTCCCAGCAAGGAGCCTGCTTCTCCCTCTACCTGTGTCTCTGCCTCTCTCTCTCTCTCTGATGAATTAAAAAAAAAAAAAAAAAAAAAATCTTTAAAAAACAAAAACAAAAATAATCATAGCAGCTTTCAAATAATGTTCAAAAAATTAAAAGAAACAATACTTAGCACACCGTCTGACACACAGTATGCCCTCAATAAATGATAACTACTATTTGCATTCATTTCTCTTTCCCTCCCTCTTTCTCTGTGTGATAAAGAGTTAATTTTATGCAAGGAAAGATCTGGGCCTTTGTCTTTGGCTACTAAAAGGTGATCTCTAGGCCCTCTAAGTACCATCTCTGGCAGCAGTGTCTTTGCTTGCCTGAGAGCTTTGGGCACAGGGCAGTCAAACTGTGATTTTGGATGGGGGCTTGGGGCCATGAAATATCAATTTTGCCTCTAGAAGGAACTGGAAACTAAAAGTATCAACTCAATAGTAATATCCAGGAGGGGCTGGAGACTAAAAGTCAGTGACTTGGCCGTATGTGATCACATCCCATTAAAAATTCTGGACACCAACGTGAGCTTCCCTAGTTGGTAATGCTCCATGCATAGTGTTATATTGATGCTAGGAAAGTAATGCATCCTGACTCTATAAGGAGAGGACAATGAAAGCTCTGTGGTTGGTTCTTCAAGCCTCATACTCAGACTCAGCCTTAGCCTTATTCTTAATCACCTTGAGACTCAGCCTATAATTTTTCCCCTAGCTGATTTGAATTTGTATCTTTCCCCTATAGTAAACTATAACCTTGAGTATAATCTGTTTTAGTGAATACTTCTAGCAAACTCTCAAACCTGAAGGTGGTTTTAGAGACCCCTCAAACTTGTAGTTGGTGTCAGAAACGAGGAGTATGTGGGGAAGCGTGTTTGTAGTTGACTGAGTTTGTAGTTGACTAATTGTACCTTCCTTTTCTTTTCTTTTCTTTCTTTCTTTTTTTTTTTTTTTTTTTTTTTTTTTTTAGATTTTATCTGTTTATTCATGAGAAACACAGAGAGAGGCAGAGGAAGAAGCAGGCTCCATGCAGAGAGAGCTCGATGCGGGACTTGATCCTGGGACTCCAGGATCATGCCCTGAGCCGAAGGCAGACACTTAACTGCTGAGCCACCCAGACATCCCTAATTGTACTTTCCTTATTTAAATTTAGAAATCCCCAAAACTTTGAAAGATATTTTACTTTATCATTCAAGGTAACTTAACAAAGCTCTTACTATTAAAAATCACTTTGAGGTGATGGCATTTATGTATAGATTACATGGCATTGTTTGTTTTTCCTTGCATAAACAATAAAAACCACTCCCATTGCTACACCCTTAGTAATAAATATAGAAATGTTTTATTCTGGTAACGTGAATCCTAGGAATAATCAGAAGTGAGTGAGTCACAAACAAGTAAAATTTCTAAAGATTAGTAATAGTACATCTGTCAAGGTCAGATGTTAGAAAATTACCTTCATCAAAAGATGTGCTAGTTTTCAAACAAAACATTAATTAAATCATACTTTTATTTTTGCTTTTTCTAAGTGATTGGATTACACTCTGTAAGAAGCTGTTTAAATCTTGTTTAAAAAAAAAAGTGTTAAAAATAAAAGTTTGCTATGCAGAATTTAAGATGCCCCTTCCAAATTCTCCTAAATGGGAAACATGGTCTGCATAGTCCCTAGAAATGTGAATATTTCACTCTCCGAAATAGGTTATATTACATAACACAGTGGACTTTTTTTTTAAAGATATTTTATTTATTTATTCACAAGAGACACAGAGAGAGAAACAGAGAGGCAAAGACACAGGCAGAAGGAGGAGCAGGCTCCATGCAGGGAGCCTGACGTGGGACTCGATCCTAGGCTCCCAGGACCATGCCCCAGGCCGAAGGTGGCGCTAAACCGCTGAGCCACCCGCGCTGCCCCACAGTGGACTTTAAAACAGAGGAAATGTCTGGTTGGATCCAACCTTTCAAATCTTGAGCTAGAGGTCAAAGATAGAAGAAAATAGAGATTTAAAGCATAAGGAGTATGTGACACAGCTTCAGGATAGGGGAGCACCTACAGAGCCTCCAGGAGCTATGGACAACCCCAGCTGACAGCCAGCAAGGAAATAGGGACCTCATCTCTACAACCACAAAGGGCTGAATTATACCAACAAGAATGAGTTTGGAAGCATATTGTTTCCCTCAAGAGTGTACAGATGAAGAACTCATCCAGGCCAACCTTGATTTCAACCTGTGGTTCTCTGGGCAGAGAGAACCAAACCATGTTAGACTCGTGACCTGGAGAACTCTGAGCTAGTAAGCAGGCATTGTCTTAAGCCACTAAGTTTTTGTTAATATCACACACACACCAAGAGAAAATTAGTACACAAAGGAACAAAATTGCATATATTTTACTGACCTTTCTTCGGTCTTTCACTCTGAAAATAAGTATCAGTTATATGCCCAGATGAATTAACCATGTAGACTCCTAGTTACCGTAGCCAATGCTAAAAATTTATAGACCCACTCTGAACAAGAAATACAGAAAAGATATTATGCATAAGCTACACATTGAATGTTTTTGTCCTCCAAAATTCATATGCTAAAATCTAATGCCCAATGTGATAGTATTAGGAGGTAGGGCCTTTAGGAGGTACTTAGTTCATGAGGGTAGAGCCCTCGTGAATAGGATTAGTGCTCTTATCAAAGAGACCCCACAGAACTCCCTACCTTCCTCTACCTTGTGAAGTTACAGCAAAAAGATGGCCATCTAGAAAGCAGGCTCTCTCCAGACACAATGTGCCTTGATTATGGGCTTCTCAGCTGCCATAACTGTGAGAAATAAATTTCTGTTGTTTATAAGCCACTCAGTTTATGGTATTTTTATTATAGCAGGCCATATGGATGATGACAAAAATGTATTTATTGCCTATAAAACAGATCATTTGGAAACCTCAACTCTCTATCTCTTATTATGAAAGGTGTGGAGAAAGTGACTCTTAAATATTCTGTGAATTATCTCTAGATTTTTGGGGGCCATCTTAAGAGGTGGGAACAGTCAGTGCTCATGCCGTCTTAAAGCATACATGGGAAACTACCATATGCTGGGTTCAGAGTGACAGACTCTCAGTATCTAGAGAGAGGTTGGAGGCCACTTAAAAGGAATCTCCCAGGAGCCTCCATAGAACTTGTTATAAAACTCCTCCCTGTCTCATTCCCTTTTCATTAATCATTACTGCAATGCTCTCATATTATTTGTTATAAAACACAAATCTCATCTTGTTGTACACTTACTCAAAATAGCAATTTTGATGGCCCTCAAGATAGTCATTTATCCACTTATACACTAAATATTTATGTAGAGGATGCCAAGTTCTTTGCTAGGTGATAGGAACACAATGGTCAGTATGATAGACAAGGTCCTGTTCTTCACTGAGCTTTGCTCTTTCAAAAATATACTTCCCATCTTATTCATAAAAGACTATAATTAATCTTTAATCCCTACCTTGGACTTCACTCCTCTGGGAAGTCCTCTGTGACACTTCTTGGCAAAATTAGGCACCCCTTCTCTCCCATAAAATACTGTTCCTAATCATATGATAATATTGACCATAATGTATTAAAATTGCATGAGATTACATGCCTGCATCCTGCATAAACAGAATATGGAAAGAAAACTCAGGAAGGGTATGCATCCCAAATTACTAGAGTCAAAAAGTGATTATGAATGAGTAGTTCGTCTTGGGAGGCGCTAACCCTGGATCTACTCCCTTCTGTGGGGTAGGGTATAATATATATATATATATATGTATATATATATATACACACACACATAATGTAGAGAATCTAACTTGAGAGTAGGAATTAGGCTAGGAGGTAAGGAATGAGAGCCCATGAAATAACCTGTGTTAGTTCAGACATCTTAGGTATGCTATGCTGTAATGATAATTCCTCCTGACCCTCTATACTCTCTATCTCAATTAGGATTTCCTGGAGGTCTGGCCCTTTGTAGATTCCAGTATGCAAGCTGGGAGCTCAAATACTATCTAGAACAAAGCGGCTATTAATCAGCTTACCTAGTGAGACAACAATCTTGAATGACAGAATTTGAGAGTGAAAAGTTGTTTAAAGTTTTCCCAAAATTCCTTATGGAAAAAAAACAAGAGCAAAATGTGGATGGTAACAGAAAGACCCAATATAGGAACTCTCGTGTACTCAGACAAGAAGGAGAAAAGAAATCTAGGACAAGGAGAGAGAGCCCAGAAATAGGGGCCAGGCTTTCTGCATATCTTATTAAACCAATAAGGAGGTGGGGCAGGAGAAGATCAGCTGGATAAAAGGAATCCAAGGGCCTATGGGCTGACAGTTTCTCATTATGTCTAATACAGGAAAACAGAGAGGGGATGGAGAAGTTAAGAAGCCTCTCAGGGAATCCCCGCCATAAGCCTTGTACCCATCTAACGTGGCAATGGAGAAATAAAACACTTGGTGAAGGAAAGTTCCCAGTTA